GAAGGTGTTTGAAAGCTATTTCCTCCATGAACTCACGCAGGAAACTGATGTATTAACCAAATTAAAAGCAAAGTTTTTCTGACAGGAGTGGAGAGGAAAGGTCCAGAGCCCTGGCCTCCCCTTTCCCCAAGGAAGCATCTTGGTCACCTATTAGTGACCTCCTCTGAAATATTCACTTTAACATACAGAAATGTGGTTTTTCCAGGACATGAAAGTGCATCATATTTAGAGCCTCTAGGAACACGTTTAAAATCTCATCTTTTGGAATTTCCAATATTATTTACATAATTGTTTTCTCTTTTTTTTCCAGGCTAAAGACCTAGATCTCTCCTGTCTACCTCTTCAGATAAATCCCTCCATCTTAATTCATCCAGCTCTGACCTGCATGGACTGTGTGGACAGGTTCCCTTATCTCTGGTTTCTGTTGGGTTCAGCCCATGAGTAGCAAAGGCAGAGCAGGAACTGGAAGTTGGGACATTTAATCCTCTAGTGCTTTTTCTGTGGATGCTGTGGCAAGCTCACTTGAGTCCCTCTACCTAAAATCTCAGTTCCTGTCACATGGTTCTCTCCATCTAGTTCTCTATTTCCAAGTTCTGGAATCAGACCCCTCCATTTCCTCTTCATGCATGGCCTCTCTGGTACTAGATTCCCTGTGATTTCCTGTACTCCACCCGTGCCTTCATGAATCATCATTTATTAAACTCTCTAAAAGTTATCCTAAGTTGGGCTTGCCACTTGTTCCTGAAGATACACTAATACAAGACCAGTCCGCTTTCCTGGGAAGCAGAAATTTATCTCAAATGAGACCAGTTGGAAGGCTTTATGATGTGGTTGAAAGAGCACGGGGTCTGGAGATAGACAAAATCAAGTTTCATGTCATTCATTCATTCACATGATGAGTCTTGAGCAATGGTAGATACTTTGGAGAGTGTGTCATGCCACACAGCCCCTTCCCAAGAAGTGGACCCTAGCAACCAAGTCAATACCATGATGTACCATCCACCCACCATCACCACAGTTGATGCAGCCAAGCTGGCTCAACAGTCCTTTGTCCTAAGAATGTGGAATTAGTATCAGTGAGTAGAGCTATTTATTTTATCTGTTTTGCTTTGGTTGGTTGGTTGGTTTTGACAGTACTGGGGTTTGAACTCACAGCTTCACACTTGCTAGTCATGCACTCTACTACTTGAGCCATGATCCCAAACTTCTTTTTTTCGTTTTTGCTTTAGGTATTTTTCAGATAGAGGCTCTTGCTTTTTTGCCTCAGGCCGGCCTCTGACTGCCATCCTCCTATTTATGCCTCCTCCACATATCTGGGATTTCAAGTGTGCACCATCACAACTAGCTTGTTTGTTTAGATGAGGGTCTCCCTAACTTTTTGCTGGGGTTGAATTCCATTCTCCCATCTCCACTTCCTGTGTAGCTGGGATTATAGGCACAAACCACCATATCTGACCAGTGTAAGGCTATTTCTAACTGAAACAGGCAGAGAGACTCAAGGTATGGAGCATCTGTCTTCTGCCAGGTACATGAAGAAGCAGAAAAGCATTGAAGTATGGGTACCACTCTTAGTTATGCCTACTCTGTGTGACACCTCTAGATATGAGTTTACCTATGAGGTACCTGTAATTATTCTATCCACTCCTCTTCATTGGATTTCAAAGTAATTGTATTGATTAAATTTCATCTTCTTTGAACCTTTTTCCTTTAGAATTTCAAACTACAAAAGTCAAACTTTTTAACTATTTGAAGTTAGATTTCCCATATCCCCTGAACACATATGTCGCCTTATCACCTTGGCTATGAGGAAATCACTGGTATGGTTAATTTCTCTCAAGATTTTTCTCAATCCCATTTCATTAATCAATTCCATCTTTGTGGACAGAATTAGATCCAGAGTAGCAGTCTCTCCTGTGCCAAATCTTCTGACAGATGATGCTTTCACTAAATCAACTTCTCTTCTTCTGGAACTTGGCTTTGTGCCAGTTTAATTATTTGTTCTTGAGCTCTATAATTTAGCTTAATTACTTATTTTGTTAGCCTATGGCACAGTTTCACAATAATACCACTTCTTTCCTCTCTTCATATTGACCTAAAGGATTCTTTTCTTGTTTCCACTCTCAAGGCTATAAAAATCCCATACAAGACTCTATCCTCATAATATAAAGTGCTACCCTGACTTTCCTTCTACCATTTTGTTTTTATCTTACTCCTCGCACCTATTTTCTTTTGTCTCTTTCCTTCCTTGCCTCCCTGCCCCATTTCTTCCTTCTTTCCTTCCTGAATTTTACAAATGCTGGAGGCAAGGGCTAACTTCTATAGATCACAGCAAAGAAACTGCTTCTGTCCCAAAAGGCTCCCTTTGAACACGTATTATGTATCCCATGACCAGCAATCCTTTCCAGGGGCAAATCAGAATTTAGTTCTGCTTCTCTAGAACAAAACACTGGACCTCTTTCACTGCCATGTTCTAGTCATGAACCCCCTCCCACTGTGTTTCTTTATATTGGTGAGATTTTATTTTCCTCATTGTATAAAATCCCCAAATCTCTTTTTTTTGGCAGTATTAAGGGTTGAACTCAGGGCCTCAGGCAGGTGCTATACCACTTGAGTCACTCTGCTAGCCCTTTTTGCATTGTTTTTTCTTGAGGTAGGTCTTGCTTTATGCCTGGACCAGCCTGGACAGTGATCCTCCTATTTGTACTTCCCCACATAGGTGGGATGATAGACTTGCACTACCATGCCTAGTCATTGGTTGAGATGGGGTCTCACAAACTTTTTGCCTGGGGTGGCCTTGAACCTCCATCCTCCTGATCTCTACCTCCTAAGTAGCTAGAGTTACAGGCTTGAGTTACTGTGCCTGGCCTAAAATCTATTTTTATATTACTCATGCACTGGTGTAATGAAACATTTAGTTAGTTTGGGGGATTTGTTTGGCTAACCCATCTCTACTTACTTTTTCCAGAAAATTTTGAAATTCTACCTATGCTACTGATTTTCTTCCAATGTCATAGTGGATGGTCCTCTGTAGTATAAAATCTTATGGTTTTCTGTGCCATTTTTTTTACTTGCATCTCTATTTTACCTTGTCCTACCTGCATGCATATCTACTCTTACACACCATGCCCATTTTTAAATTGAAGCATTTTTATTTGAGTTGGCAATTCTCACAGAAAAATAGGTTTTCCCTTTAACATCTGAGAAGCACTTTGTCCCAGTTCAAGAACATATCATTCTCTCATCAGTAGACTGTGAGCAAGGGGCCGTGACTTCTTGGAGTCTGTTCAAGTGTCTACCACCTTCCATGAGGCACAGTAGGTAGTTAGTAAACAACAGGTCACTCAGGTATGGTTCTCTTCTGTATGTCTCCTTACAGCATGCTCATAAGAATTATTTACCTGCTGTAAAAGGAATTTTGACTCTTCTTTTTTATTCTCAAATGGAACTGAAACCACAATAGGCTTCCCTTAATATATTGTGAATATTTCTATCACAGTAAGGTACAGTACCACTTAATGGAAAAAAAGTCACCACTCTGTGATTCAGGGTTTTATTTTTAGTGCTGTCATTGACTAATGACAGATGGCCATGTCATCCATCTATTTCCTTAGTTATGTGCAATGACATAATTGATATGAATTCACTGCCAGTCCTCTCAGAAGCAGACTTTGCTTTTTTAATAAAGTATTTGAGGTAAAAATATAAATTACTCCCATCTAGGGCATTAAGTATGAGAGAAACAATTTTTATCAAAATATAAGAAGGAATTTGCTTGTTCTGGTGCAGGTAGGCAGGAGAGAAAGGAATGATAGGGTGGAGGGGCCTGGGAATGGCATAGACACCTCCATGGGACTTTCCCATTTTTTACTGTCCTCTGCCCTCTCCCCACATTTTCCTAATCATCTACAATTTAAAATGTTTTTAAATACCTAGTACATTAGATTTCTTGTTGAAACTGGTGAAAGGGCTGTTTCTTTTATCTTAGAGTTGTTAAAGATTCAAACATGCATGCTAAGGCAGCCTGCATGTGCTCAGAGATGTAGATGAAGAGGAAAGCAAAAGGAAATAAATTGTAGGACACTGCAGAAATCATATAGAATGCCATGGACATGGAATTTGGGTTAGATTTAATCAGGTCTCTAATAGACATGGGAAATCCCTCCAGACATCCGAGTTACATATAAAATAGATATATGATCATTACTAAGTTTTCTTTCAGAAATATCTCTTTTGAAGATTCTAAGAGATGGAAACATGTTTTTAAATAAAGTTTTTTCAATTCTTCATTTATGTGCTTACTATTCAGTGAAACACATTTTCTACCTATTATCGGATGAGCGTCCCTTACTGCTGATTTCATTGATTCCAGACACAATTTTTCCCACATATTTTCACATCTCTGAAATGGAACATGCCTTATAACTGATGGCAGCTTACAAATACTGTTAGCCAAGCTGCAGTAATGACATAGTTGTCATGTGTACACATGCCTGAACCTCGCTGTTATTCCAAGAGACATGAGGGGCATCTACAATCACTTGGAGCTTCAGTTAATTGGCCATTTAAGGGCCCTCTTAAGGAATATCAATCCTGGTTGTTGTCTGACCACCTTTCCGGAATTCTTTCTGACAAGATTTTTTTTTTAAATGCCAGTATTGCAGACCAGATATTGTGACCTGGAGGAATTTTCAAGAGACAATTGAGAAGGACATTTTTTTTCTTTTTCAGAAATACTGGGATGCGGGCGTGGCCCTGAGGTAGAACTGGGAGAACCTTTAAGGTGGGCGGCGGGTTTGTGAAGCGGAACTGAGTCCTTTTCTTAGTTATCATGTGACGGGTTCTGAATTTAATGGGGAGGGAAGTGTGTAAAAGGACAAGAATCGAAACTGGCGAGTTTCCTGACCTTCGTGACCCTCTCTGTTCTCCCGCCAGCCGCACTGCCTGGGCATTTTCCCCTTTTTTCAACCCTGCAACAGCCTCTTTAAACTGTTTAAAAGAGAATGTCCTTGGCTAAGAGAGTACTACTCACCTGGCTTTTCACATTACTCTTCTTGATCATGTTGGTGTTGAAACTGGATGAGAAGGCACCTTGGAACTGTTTCCTCATATTTATTCCAGTCTGGATATTTGATACTATCCTTCTGGTCATGCTGATTGTGAAAATGGCTGGGCGATGTAAGTCTGGCTTTGACCCTCAACATGGATCACACAATATTAAAAAAAACAGCCTGGTACCTCATTGCAATGTTACTTAAGTTAGCCTTCTGCCTCGCACTTTGTGCAAAACTGGAACAATTTACTACCATGAATCTGTCCTATGTCTTCATTCCTTTATGGGCCTTACTGGCTGGGGCTTTAACAGAACTTGGATATAACGTCTTTTTGGTGAGAGACTGATTTCTAAGTACATCATCTCATTTCTGTTGCTGTTCAAAATCTTTGCAAGCCTCAAGAATACCAGAGAACTGAGGGAAAATACCAAATGTAGTTTATACTGCTCCCAAAAAACAGTATTGGTAAATTACAGACTTCTAGTCAACCCAAAGCTGAATTATTCAATATTTGAGTTACTGATATCCTTTCTGTCCCTATGTAAATAAAGTTTGTTTAAAAAAAAGAAAGAAATACTGCTTTGCTAATATTCATCCTGCTCCAGAGAATAGAAATGCATGGAAAAATATATAACTCTGAATCAAAAAGTGATTCAGAAGTGTCAAACTCAAGGTGAAGAAATTATAATGTTGTAATGACTTTTAGTTATATTTGTGTAGTGATATTTAAAAGTTCTATTTCTAAAAACATAAAAAGAGTCCTTTAAATAAGAATAGAACTTTAAAATATAAATGATAAAAAGGCATAATGATCATTTAATTGGTGGTACTTTTTCCATTCTTAGTGCTTGGTAAAATAGTAGTGTGCCATATAATCAACAATGCCTCAGAGTCAACAAAATAAGGTCGATTCTTTAGAGACTATAAATGAGAAAACAGTTCCAGCTCTCAAGATACTCATAATCTGGAAAGGGAACAACAAAAGCACATGAAGAATAGAAGTGGGTTGGGGGACATGTGGCTCAAGTGGTAGAGTGCAAGGATCTGTGTTCAAACCCCAGTACTGCCAAAAGGAGGAGGAGGAAGAGGAGGAAGGCAAAATAAGATTATTGTTCCCAAAATAGGTACAAATTGTGTGTACATTTAAAGGAGGAAGTGCTCATATGAGAAAGGTTCCATAAAGGAGGGAGCATTGAAGGACCTTGAACAATGGGTAGGAATCCAACTGCATAACAGAGATAGGATGGAGTAGGAAAGAGAATGACCAAAGGAGCAGATGCAAGAAAATAGAGGTCATTTCTGAGAATAATGAGTAGCACATTTGGACTTCAGGGTTTGCAACCCTTTTGTATTTTGCCCATTAAGAATTTGGTGGAAATTATAGACCCTATGCCTGTAAATAAAAGCACAAATTCATAATCAACAATATTTGCTTGCTATTACTGAGAATTTCCCATTCACTGGTAGCATAAGAGAGGAGAAAAGAACAAGGGAAGACGGATGGACAGTGGTGCAGGTGACTAAGGGTACAGAAGCCCCCTTTCTGAAGGAGGGATTCCCATCTAACTGCACTTGGGAAGAATGGAATTGGAGGGGATCCATTCAGACTGCTCATCCAAGGATTAAAGGAGTTAGGTACCTTTAGGAGTTAGGAATCATTTCTAACTCCAGCTTGGATGTTAAGGGCTTTTTAACATGGTAGGATATTGACTAGAAAATGTAGCTGGGAAATGAAATATATGGGAAAATATATCAGGACCTTATTAGAAAGGACCTTCACTATACACACACATACATGCACACACACACACAAACACACACACAACACAAGCACACACACACACACACATACACACTGGACTTTATGCTTAATTCAGGGAGCACTAGGTACATGTTCAGATACCTGAAGAGAGTGAGTGTTCAGACTCTGGTTTAGGAAGATTAAATTTTGGATTAGAGGTAAATGTGAGACCATTTAGGAGTTTATTGCAGTTGCTTTTTATATTATTCAAATACATTCTATTTTTTCAGCTTCCCCATCTCTCCTTGCCATCTACCACTACTTGGCAGAGGGGCAGGATTTTAGTAGGCATTTGGTAGTGCTTGCTGAAGTGAAAGTCATCAATTCACTTTGAGGCTCCCCTTGTAATGACTCTATTCCTCGACAGGTGGCACCATTACAGCATTATTTACAGGGTAGGGTTCCTTCTCTTAAGCACAGTGCTTCCAAGCAGGAAAGCCATTTTCCTGAAAGAATTTGCCTTCTGGGGACACTCTAGACATTGGGGGGGACTTGTATCATTTCCTGCCTGAATTTCTAAGCATGTAGATGAAGAAAGATGCTTATTCAAAGCTTCCTTTTCAAAGCAAGGAATTTTCTATCTTGCAGGAAGTATAGACTTAAATATATTTGAAGAAGAACTGTTGTTTAGTTCTGGGAAACTTTTAAGTGAGCCATTTCGTTATACATATCAAGCAGAAACCATATCTGTGGTGATATGAAGATCACACAAAACTGCATGTTCATATTAGAGGTCAAGTTTGCGTTTTAGGGAAATAACTAATTTTCTAAGAGCAAATTTTAGTTGTAGCAGGCAAAGTTGTAGCTTATTTCTATGAGGTTGTATGTGTTTTTGTTTTGAAATTTAACCTAAACCCTGAGAGAAGACTTTAGCCCTGTTAGAGATGGGGTGCCAAATACTAAGAGGTGGGATGAGTTATCGGTAGTGTTGTGTTGAGCCCAGACATAAAGAACCGCACTAAACCATGGAGGGGCCATCTTCTCATTTGCGCTGGCAAACTTAAGTACTATCAGACTTAGAAACAATGAGAAATAGAATTTTTAGCATATTATGAGTGTAAAATATAATTTCAATTTGTTGAATATGTAGTGAATAATCAGATTTCAATTCAGTGTAGGAAATACTCTGGAGGCTCCAGGAGGCAAGGAAGCTAGGTCATTTCTTCTTTGATATTTTTTAAATTAAAACATCTCATTACCTTTTAGCTCAGTGATTCTTACTCTTTTTTTACCCAATTCTTGCTTGACCATGTACATGCTTACATAATTCTGCATTCCATTTCAAGGACTTGTGGCCCCTTGAAGTTCAATAGTGACCCTGCCCATGAGTCTCTGGCAGAAATTCCAGCTGAAACTCACTTACCAGGAGTATTCCAAAGAAAAAACCTGAGGCCAGTGGAATAGGGAGATCAGAAGACAAGGCAGTACAACCTGTGTTGGATCTCCATGATATGCTGGTGCAGATGTCTGAAGAAGGCTGGCAAATTGCTTTTTCTAGGGAAATTTTTAGCTGGACCTGCAGGAAATATCTGGGAGGCCCCTGAGTTGAGACTGAGGACACATGTAGGACAGTGTGCACAGGAAGAACTAGAGTCAAGGGTTAAGGGACTCAAGAACTTTCTACAGAGTCTAAAGGGCTAAATTGCCCTTGGAATTCATATCAGACAATGGAGAATCTGAGCTGCAGAGAGCAGGAAAGGAGCTGGAAGATGGAGCTGTGTCAAGGACACTTAGGGACATCAGCTTCTTCCTCTTAGGAGCATCTTATTGATGCTGTTAACTGTATTATCACCCAGCTGGACTCTGAGAAGGGTCACTGATCCAAACCTTAACTGTAATTTTGTGTTTGAGCTAAGAAGCTGAAACATGACTAAACTAAGGTTATTTCCTTTTCAGGACTCTTTTAGGCTCTTTATTGGGGGAAATAGGGATCTTCTCTGAAGATCCAAATAAGAGAGCAATTAGCAGAATGGATCCCATCTAGAGTTCTTTAAATTAGACAGAACCAGGTTTAAGTCCTGGATCTCCCAAGTACCACTCTGTGATCTTGAGCAAGTCTTAATCTATTTCTGAACTGTTATGTAAAAATAATAATAGTGCCTACTTAATAGGATTATTGGGAGATGAATTGAGTACAATGCTCAATAAATTATAGCTATCAGTTATTAGTGCTGAATGCTACAACTGTAACAGAAACCTATCTCCCAGTCCTCAAGGATACTTCCCCACTTATGTATTTTAGTTGCCCTCCCTAGGACCCTAGCCCACATTTCTGATCCACTGTATAACCTCAGGCTTCCTCTGGTATCCTATGCATACAGGACTGGTCCCCAAGACCTTTGGTTCATACCTACAAGACATTTAAGATAAAAAGGCCCATGCTAGCTTAAGAACCTCACCTGAATTCTTTTCTGAATTCTATCCTGGAAGATAAGGGTTCTTCAGATAGGAGAACATATATTAAGAGAGTTTCTAGAATCTTCCCTGAGGGTGGTTTTGTTTTCCCTGAGAATAAGGAAATTTAGCATTTGCACAAGACTTGCTAAGAATGTTGTACATTTTTACCCCCAAGATGTATGTATCCCCATTTTTTCTTTACATCCCAGAACTAAGTTTTAGTCAATTCAGTGTTTGAACTGAGATTTAAACACAGATCTGTGCCTTCGGTCCTCTTTCTCCCACTCTGCAACAAGCAACAGCCAAGTTTCCATACATACACACATGTGCACATGCACACAAACACACACATAGCATCCCAGCTTATTCCCGCTCTCAGATTTTGTTCTGGGGCAGCCTTGGGAAATCTTCCTGGCCCAAGGGAGCAGCCTAGAGCTGATGTCAGTGTAAGCTCTTGGGGAACACCTTACCGTCATCCTCCACTAGAGGCCCAACGCAGTTATTGTGGTTTCCTTTGTGATGTGTCACTCTACTCCCACAGATCCTGAGCAATCCCCCCAGAACAATAACAACATCTCACCCCTTCCATGGAACAGGTGTCATACCTGCCATTCCAGGGCTCAGATTTAGAAATCACCACTCAGGGGCCAGATGCTTCACTGACGACAAGTCCCTTGCACATGTAGAGGGCTGACTAACTAAAAACCCTGTTAGCACAGAAATCTCACCATATACCCCCACTTTTATCTGTCCAGCTTGAGATCAAGGTCCAGGGCAGAAGGGAAAGGAGGCACAGTTGGCAATGCCTGTCTCAACCCAAGACAGGGACAGTCAATTCCTTGGAACTGGAGGCAAGGAGAGAGGAGGGAAGGTATGACCCTTAAATTTCCCATTAAGCCCTGGTTCATGCAGTGGGCCCACAAGCCCCATCCTGACATCCCCTTAGTACCAGTCAGCAAGGTGGGGAGATGACGCCTTTTTATTAAGGTTAACACCAAGGAAAGCATTGAGAAGGAATACACAAAGGAGGGAGAAGGGCACACAAAGTCACCACTTCAGAAGGTAGGAGGGAGGCACATCAGTGAAGGAACTCAGGACAGCCGCATGCTCCATGCCCTGGTTGGGGAGGGGGAACAGAAAGAAGGAGGGAAGGGAAAAGCGCCATGATAGCTTGGGGCTTACAGAAGGGTCTGAAGCCCCCTGAACCTAACACCAGAGCCACCAGCCCTGCCCCTCAGGGCTCACACACTATACTACGTAAGTTGACGCACATAACACACACAAGACATTATGAAGGCAACACCAAGAGGTGGGGGCAGGGATATATTGACAGAAAAGGAAACTGAAATTAAGTAGGTGTAGCCAGGAGAGAGTTTTTGGCTGCAGCGCCCAAGAGGTCCTCAAATGTCCCCTAAATCTGGACTGTTGCTGAGCACCCCCAAGTCTCTGCCTGTGAACTGGGCTCTTTGTTTTCTAAGCCCCAGCGAGTGGAAAAGCAATCCCAGATGAAGTCAGTGACAAGGCAGGATCCACTCTGCATGCAAAATCCTAGAGGTTGAGCTATTGTGTCTTCATGCACATTCATAGCCAGCTCCTCCCAGCCCCAGGCCCTTGGAACCCCATTCACCCAGATTCCTAGGGCTGCAGTTCCCTCCTAAGCTTCCTTTACCAATCAGCAGCTGCAGAGATCTGTGAGGGGGAGAGGCTTCTGCAGAGCGCTGAATATCTTGGATTTCAGCAGAAGGGTAAATTTCCTGTTGCCAGAACAGAATACCCCAATTCCTTAATTTCTAGGTTAAATCATTAGATATTATTTGCCATAGTCCTAAGTAAGTCCTTTTCAGAATAGAAAAAGCAGAATTTTATTTACATAATTCAGGGGTTCTCCTGTTGCCTGGGGTCCTGGGGGAAAGGGCAGGGAAGGGTTTTGTATGGGAGTCCAGAGATGGGCACTTTCTCTCCCGGAACCTCACCTTCCCGCATTTTGCCATGACGCTTTGTTGGGCAAGAATAATTCTTGGTGCTCCCCAAGTCCTTCACCCTACAAATACTTCCTTGAAGGAGTCTCTCTCTTCCTGACCCATAAAAGCAGCTGTCGATGTGAAGCGTGCTGCAGCGCGCTGTTCAGTCCTCTCGCGTCATGCTCTCAAAAACCCAAAGCCAGCCCGGGAAGTTAGTGCCCCTGCGGAGTCCCCTCACAGGGAGGCCTCGCCCTCCAGCTGCAGTAGAGTAATGTCAGGCAGGTCGAGGGGCTCCACAAGTGGCCCGTCATCCCCAAGGAGACCAGCACAGGGGCTCTTAGAGCGCTCACAGTGACTGGTGGGTGTGGCGGGGCTGGGCATCTCTTTCTCCTCCACTTCATCGTCGTCGTCCTCCTCATCCTCGGGATCGCGACCCAGCAAGCCGCCGTCCCCGATCCCAGGCGAAGGGGTCACTGGCTCTTGGGGGGCACCCGGGAAGCTACCCTTGCCACCGACCACGCCCAAACCGCCCTGGCGGGGCGCCGTGGTCATAATCTGGCACATGGAGACGATGGCCCGCTGGTTGGCGCACACGTCGTCCGAGAGCACCTGGATGTGCGAGGCCTGCTCGTCCAGGGCCCCTCGCATGGCCCTCACATCCTCAAACAGGGCCTGCAGCTGGGCCTTCAGGTGCTCCATCAGTTCCTTCATACCGCCGTTGTACTCTCCGGAGATCACATCCCCCACCGCGGGCACGGTGGACACCTCCAGAGGCGCCGGCATGTCGCCGCCGTCCTTGGTCATGATCTCCAGCAGACCGTCCTCCATTGAGTGGCAGAAGCGGGCTGTGGCGGCTCTGGGTGGCGTCCAGCCCGGCCTTCGGAGTGGGGAGGAGGTGTGGAGGGGGAGATGTCCCCGGAGGGGCGGGGAGGAGCCGAGGGAAGCTGAAGCTCCGAAGAGGGACTGGGAGCCGACGTGAGGAAAGAAGACCCGGGCAGAGGGCGCGGACAGAATCGAGGGAAGCCCAGAAGAATCGGCGGGACAAGGACCCTGCGGGCGAGGGTCCCAGGGCCAGCGTCTTCGGGCTTTCCCGGGGGCGAAAGAGCCCTGTCCTGCCTCTCCTCCTGGATTGCGCCCGCGTCGGCGCTGCCCTCCTGGCACCACGCGCAGAAAGCGCCCGCCGACTCCCTGGGTCACAGAGATGCTCCGCGTGGGGTCCGGGTGGAGGCTGAGACCAGCAGCGTGTCTGACTAGGGACTCCCCCAGGCCCGCAAGTGTTGCTGGAGCGGCAGGGGCGGGTCTCCCGGCACCACGGCGGATGCTCCTCTGTTTCCAAGGAGACGCACGGCACGTAAATGACGTGTGTCTCCATGGTAACTAGGAAGTGGCGAAAAAAAAGGGGAGGATGGTTGGGAAGCTGCAGTGGGGCTCTGTTTTCTGGGCTAGCGGGCGGGGCCGGGACGCTGCAGTGGCCCAGACTGGAAAGTGTGTGTGGCTGTAATGTTCAATAGGAAAGCATGAGAAAGCAGTTTGATGCACAAGTCCCCAAGCCCGGGAGAGACCGTCCCTCTCCCAGTCTGGGTATCAAATAGTGAGAGTGACGGCCTTGGGAAGATTTTCACCAACTCCCCGCCCTCCTTTCTCAGAGGATGGCGCTTGAGAGCCGGCTAGTGTTTCCTTGTCCTCCAGCTGCCCGCAGGAAAGCGGAGAAGGTAAAGAGGTGACGCTAATAATCCAGACTTGAGCTGGCGCACGGTAGCGCCCTGGAGTTGGCCCGGCCAGGTCTGGCGATGCACAGGTAGGGGGAGGGTTTCAGCCTCTCCCTACGGCTTCTGCAGTAAATCAGCCCTCTCGCTACAAAAAACACAGGCAGCTGGGAAAGGATGCTATTCTCTCCCTTATGGGACCCGGCTGCTCCTACCCAAATCACTGTGAGTTTGTCCAGGCTGGTGAGGCTAACTACTTAAGTTTTGGGAATGAAAGCTCAATAAGGGCAGAGATTTTTTAACGCCCCTGAATCCTCTATCACGGAATCCCCAGCAACTAAAATAGTGTCTGGGACGTAGTAGTAAGTAGATGCTTAATGTATTTCTTGAATGAATACTTTAACAAAACCACCAAGTGCCATTTCCTCATCCAGAACTCTCCAGCCCACACTTAGTGGATTTGAGAAGGCTGGAATTCAATTTCCTTTCTGCCACTTACTCTTTCAGAGACCCGAGCTGAATCATTTTCTTGATCTATTAGGGAATTGGACTGGATAATCTATAATATTATTTCTAACTCTGAATAAGACTCTGCACCACTTTACAACTAAAAAGGGTATCTTATTGACAGTTGTGTGGAGATGGATAGGAGGACTATGTGTGAAGGCCATTTCCCCAGTGTCCATGTTCATACATTCACTGAGTGTCCCCAACGTTTGTGACAACCCCTTTTTCTACTTGAAGGGCAGAGCAGGAGAGAAGGAAGAAAAATTTGGTATATTTACAAATGACACAGACTGAGAAACAGGTATCACATGGCTGTAGCATACTAAGTTAGTAACCATCTGAGTAAATCAGAGTCGTCAGAAACCAAAAATGAAATTCACAAGAATAAATAAATCTGAGAAGACAAAATCAACTATCATTTAAAAATAGAGAAGGCTGGGCACCTGTGGCTATTCCTGTAATCCCAGCTATTTGGGAGGCTGAGATCAGGAAGACTGAGGTTTGAGGCCAACCCTCAGCATATAATTTGCGAGTCGCCATCTCCAAAATAAGCCAGAGCAAAATGGACTGAAGGTGTGGCTCAAGTGGTAGAGCACCTGCTTTGTGAGTGCCTGCTTTGCAAGGGCGAAGGCCTGAGTTCAAACCTCAGTTCCGAGGGAGAAAGAGAGAGAGGAGAGAAAAGAAATAAATATAGGTGAGTGTTTTTAGATATTGGTAGTTAAATGATAGCAAATGTGTTTCCCTTGGATTTTCCTGGTGTGTGCTCTTAGTGATGAAGAATGGTCACGGAAAATTTTGTGGCTAAAGAACCATTTGGCCTATGACTGTCTTACTGCTATTAAAATAAAAGCAAATTGGAAATATACTAAGTGTCTGACAGTAGACTGTTTTAAATAAATAAGTAAAGGCATTGGTGATAAAAGAATGTATTATGCAGCCATTAGAAATTTAATTTCCCAAAACAAATATGTAAACAAACTTAAACCCCCAAATACTGTATTTTCTAAAACTAATGATTCAATCCTATTTGATTGGTCATTCCTTCCTTCTACAAAATTGTAGTGTTCCCACCTTGGTTATCACTCCTACCTCCACCATGTGCCCAACACATGGTTAATAAAATTTAAATTATTCCTAAAGTGCTCACTTCAGCAGCACATATACTAAAATAAATTATTTCTAAAGCACTGACTTAGAAGAAGACAGAAATGCTTTTCCTTCATATCCCTAAGCACAGCTACAGTGGACTGGTATTTCAAAGAGACTTTTTTTAAAAATGGGAAAAGTAGAAACAAAGACAGGATACATAAAACAGCTAGCTTACACAGCACAAGTTTCTGATCATACTGCAGCAAACATGTTCTCAGGGCTTACAAGTTCAACCCTGCTATTCATCCTTCCCCAGGAGAGTCCTGCTATATAACCAGAAAAGACTGGCATAGTTTTCAGGCTTTCTACCTAGGTCTGTTACTTCCCATTTCTTGTCCGACACTTCACATGGAAGATTTCATCTTGCCAGTTCTTCACCCTTCTGATGGGTCCCTGCCTTCTACCTTCAAAAAGCGATCCTGTCCCCAGTATAAGGATTCCCATCCTTGCCATCCCATGAGCTTACCTCAAACGCAGCCCCCATATAGTAGGATCTGGGTTATGCCATCATACAAGGCCCCTTGCCACTATTGTTGAGGATACCATGTATGTCAACACTTTCAGCATCAAGCTACCAAGAGTAGCTGGCAATGAAGTCCACACAGAGTACAGGGGTCTGAGCCAAGAGGGAGGGGAAACTATTGGAGAAGCACTAAAGACCATGGGAAACAGGTGCAGAGATCCAGGGGTGTGGCTGATCCATTCCAGTTCCAGGTCAGACATTTGAGAGGGTAGGTGGGAACTGGGGGAGTGAACCAGCAGCAGGCCTTGAAAATATGGGGAGGAGATATTGGTGGGACAAATTTAAAATCAGAGCATTTCAGAAATTCTGTGTGAAAATTGGACAAGGGAAATTAGTTTGCAGTTATAATCTGAGGAAAATGGGGCACAAAAAGTAAAACAGAGCCCTCATCAACTGACTTAGTTACAGCGTTGGGTCCTTGGAACACCGAGGTCTTGTTACCCGGTCCATTCCCAAACAAAAGGAGGCTGAATGGGAACCCCAGTCATCCTAGTAAAGTATTCAAAGGATCTGTTCATAGAAAGAGAAAATAACCCCTATACATTCTTTTACATCCTCATACTCTGAGAATCACCTTAGCTATTCTGTTCCTTCATCTCACTTTTACTAGCCGATGGGCAGAAGAAACCCCATGTCGTATGGATAGGTCTCCATCAGGTACACCTAGTCCCAAATCGCATGTTCTCACTAAAATTGTGATTCCGAATAGACCCCGGAACTTTCCTTTATCTGGTGTCTAGTTATGTACAGTCTATTTTATATGGCTGGTGTACTTTTTGCACAATGAAGATGCTCACTTTACTCAGGTCTGGAATAATAATCTAAACCAAGATACTGCCAACTGCTGGGCCTTAGTCAACATCCCAGACAACAGCCCCCAAATGTAACTTACAAAGCTGTGTTGCCTTATGGCCCATCTCAGCTTGAATAGTATATTCAAAAGAAACACATCCAGTTGCCAGAAAGAATTAAAAAGCAATTCAGACTTTTATTATGGTCTCTAAGAAAATTCCAAAGTGACTTACATTCCTAGTACAAAGCAAAACATCTTAAACTTCTCTCCCTTCTCTACTTATCTCATATTTGAAGTAACTATTGCTGCTTGTTTCTTTCCCTTTTCCCCCAAATGTCCCCAAACATTCTCTCAAGCCTGGCACTTATTTTCCTGATTCCCTGGTCACTTCGTTTCTTGGATATATTCCCTTTTTCCTCTTGCAAGAAGAAACTCCATATTCTTCTAATGTAAATTACTCCAAGCTTGTTTCAGTTCCTTCAATTCTGTCCCTCATTGCCCTGATCTGCACAACTACCAAGAGCCTTAGCTGTCAATTACAGGGTTCTCTCAGAGGGTGAAAAAGACTGAGAAGCTGGGAACATTCATATTGTGGTATTTGTCACATAAACTAGGTTTATTAACATAAACCTATGTGGCACCAGATGATGTTTTACCAATCTCTCTGCTTTTCTTATCTCCCAGATGTGTATACAGAGAAATAGACAAGATGGTTTGCAAGGATTTTGTTCCTGCCTGACAGTGGGGGGAGGGCATCCAACTTCCCACATTCAAGAGGTGACCCACACACAACACTTAAGACCCACATTGGACTTACAGTTGCTTGTTCTGTAACTTTTCATCATTTTTAGGAGTCTTTAGGGCCACCTTCCACTCTTCTATCTCTTTCATGTTAACTCACCCAGCAGGAATTCAGGGAACCTTTCAATTTCCTCACACAGTCTCAATCTCCACTGAAAATAACCCCTCATTCCATTTCAGTCTGTTTTGCTGCCACCTTATCTCCCCTTGCTGCACTGCACATTGCAACAGCTTCTTCTGTCAACACTTCAAGAGGCTTTTCCCTGCTCAATGACGGTTCCAATTAGTATCCTGTACCACATGGCCAGTTCCAGCCCAAGTGTTGCTGGGTATTTGGCCACAGACACAGAAGCATTCAGAGCTCAGAGATCACCAATGATCCTTGCTGCCAGGCTCCATGCATCTCTAACACTCGCCATCTATTTTCTGCCCCCAGAAATTTGTCCTTCTTGAAACAGCTCTGAGCCTATTGTGCCCAAGTCAGAATCTTTATCAGGCAGTGATAATACTGTGTCACCTATAAACACAATTTCCAGGTGGGTGGGGCAATTTTGCTTGACAAACGCTTGTCGTACAGGATCAGTCCAATTTGAAGTGAAGTATGCCCAGGTATCTAGGGTACAGTAGGTCTGTGGTATGGGTGCCACAAACTTCCCTTGCATTAAAGGAATTTTTAGAAGTTCAATGTCCCTCGATGCTAACTTAGGCAAACTTCCAGGACCTTTCTCACTTGTTACAGCTTAAGGAAGTCTACAGTATTCTGTTCTTTGCAATTCATACAAAATTTTTGTAGGTTTCACTTTTACTAACACCTTGAGCCATGCTCTCTCTCTTTCAGACGCTCTAAAGATAGTATCAAAAGTGGTTTCTAC